CATGTGACACTGAAGACTGGAGTAATGATGCTGAAAATACATCAGAACAGAGATTCACTTAGAAAACAGCTATTTTAAACTATAATAATATTTCACTGTTCTTGCTGTATTTTGGATCAAATAAATGCAGCTGTGGTGAGCAGAAGAGACTTCTTTCAGAAACATTAAAACGTCTTCCGGAACCCTGGTTGTGTGAACGTCCAAGGATGTTTACATTTATTCCATATTTGGATGGCTTCAGAGTGTAATAGTGTACCTGTTCCTCTCTGTTTCAGTAAACCGATGAGGGAACATGAGCTCCAGAAGATGTGCAGCACCAGCAGGTGACCCAGTCCACCATCCTCCTGCTTCAGGAGGCCACTAAACTCTCAGACGTCACAGAGACCGCAGTGATGTCCAGACCTGCATCTGAGCCTGTTCCCTGCAGCAGCGCCCCGTCCAGCGCATGTTTCTCACTCATTTACGAGCTCACAGATGCGGAGGAACTCAAAGAACCCAGCGAGCTCGCTGAGCTCATAAAGACACACACAGCGGATCACATCAGCGCCAGTGAGAAGACAGAAAACCCGTCTGTGCTGCACATCGAGGGCCGTTCTGATCGGGACGAATCTGTTATCTCGTCCGCAGGAAGTGGTTGTCCTCTTCACTTCCTATCTGGTGTCTGAGCGAGACGCTGAGAGCGAGTGGCTCCCTCTGAAAGCTCACAGTGTTCCTCACAGCCGACAGACCTCAATAATAATCTCTTAGAGAGCGCGAGTAAGTCCCGTGCGCAGCCCCGACCCGCAGGACCCCCGCAGCTGGACTGATCATCACCTCCGACTACAGGTGGAGCCTCTGAGGGAGGGAGTATGGTGTGTTTCTGCTCAGCGAGGAGATCCGGCGCTGGAGGAGAAGCAGGAGCAGGAGCTCCGAAGAGGAGAGCGACTCCTGCGCTCTGTCCCGTCAGTACTGCACACGAGCACCAGAGGGCGCTCAACACACACACACACACACACACACACACACACAC